AGCGTAGGCGGCATCCATGTGTGGGTTCGAGTCCCATCTAGGCTACTGAACTGTTAATAATCTCGACATATGTGAATTTCATTGATGGGGTCAGTGACCAACACAATGGGCACACATGTTTAAGTGATCCATATAATAAACCTCAATAATGAATTGCCTAAATTCGTTAATGCATCATGATTAGGTGATGCAATTAACTCGATGAAGCTATTGCCCTAGAACTGTGTGTGTGTGTGCGTGTGTGTGTGTGCAGTCCTCGTTATGCGAACGCGAGCGACTGCACGGCTCAGGTGGACTCCATTGAATGAAGGACATTGGTACCTCAAGAGAGTTTGGATTCCAACTTTGGTGACTCAGTGGGGAGGTTGGTTTAGCTGATGAGCACGTAGTAAAACGCATTTACAATTCGATGTAAAATTTCAGAACATTGATTTGGAAGAAAAGTTGATTAGAATATTCATCATCAGTGCACAGGTGAACTTTGAGAAAGCATTACTTGATATTTGTCGACATACAAGCCAATATGAAGCTTTTTCGGTTTCAGAAACGCTTTTTTCACCCTTTGATAGGACCTTGTTTGAATTGGCTCTTATAGTCCTACTGGTATTGTAGATAACTTTGAAACGCAACTTGTTTCCTCGGTTTCAAAAGGTTAATCTGTTTCACAGCTAGCTGAAATCAGCGCGTGCTTTCAGCTAGCNTTTCGATACATTTTGTTTGTGAATCAGTTTGTACAATGTGAGGCAAAATACATCGGACAGCTGTTTCGTCTTCGTCGGGATTCATCGGTAGTGCACACTATTTTCGCGTCCTTGTTTGGACTCGAACCAAGGGATTTGGAGCCGAAACCATTGAGACATACGGTGGTTGATCGGCATTATTGGTGAGGGCTTGTGTTGAATAGTATATCATATTTCGTGTTAGGTTCCATGAGAAATTAAAGACACCGGGATCTGCATACCGTCCCAACAAGACTAAAAATTGTACGCATAGCTGACGAGAACCAACACGAACGAGATCGCTGTTCGGTATTCTTGTTGACCTCAGCTGGCATGAATTCAACTGTATAGTAGGTAAAAGAGTATAGATCATATCGATGTGTTTGAATTTCACTCAGTCACTCTACTTCATTTTGTGAGCTGGTCACAGTCCCATGCTTCCAACTTCCTACGTAAAATGACTGTAGAGAATTTATCCTCGTTGAAAGGACTTCAACGGTGATCATCATTCTCACTTTAACCACGGTACAGATTTCTTACTGAAATAAGTAGAGTCTCGCTAACATACTTTGCATGATGATGAACACCAGAACGGCATTGAATTTCTTGCGTTGTTTCTCTTATTACCCAAATCACCATATATATATACATGATCGAGTAAACCACCAAATTATACTGTGAAAACTCTAAAACTATAGAGTAAGAGGTTGGATTCTCGACTGAATCAGAGGGTTTCTCCGACAAAGAACCATGTCAGTTCGTGTTGGTAATTCATTATCAGAGCCTATCACCGCTGCCCGAGGGGTTTCTCAAGGATCCGTACTCGGGCCTCGTCTCTTCCTTGCATTTATAAACGACCTGCCACATGTCCTTGGACCTAATACACTGCTATTTGCAGACGACGCTAAGATCTGGAGAACTGTAACACATCCAGAGAATTATAAAGCACCCTAACAAACGATCAATTCAGCCCATGACATCGAGTTCAAATGCAGAGTTATTTCTATGCGACACAAAACTCGTTTCTCCTATGTTCTGGGGAACAAAATACTACCAAATGCCTCTGACAAAAGGGATTTGGAAGTTATGGTACAGGAGGACGTAGGATGTTCCACGCACTGTGCCAGAGCATCATCCATGGCTATAAAGCAAGTTGGACTACTCAGACGTGTTTCTGGGCATTTCGAAAGACCACTGTTCCCAAGCTTGCTATCAATGTTCGTTCGGTCACACACGGAGTACGCCGCTCAAGTATGGAATCCATGGTTGAGCCGTGACAAGAAGGCTCTAGAACATCCGCAGAGGCTGGCAACAAAATTGGAAAAAGTTTGTGTAAACAAGACATGCTCCGAAAGACCGCAAATATTGGGACTCTACTCATCTCAATACCGCCGACTTCGGAGGGGACCTAATCTTGACACATCACATACTGAATCAATCCAAACACTCTTGCCGTTCTATGCTAATTTTATCTCAAAGTGATCACCTCAAGGGACATCCAATAAAGATAAAGACCCAGAACAGCCACCTTGATGGTCGACATCACTTGTTTGCAGTCAGAGTGTGCGGCGTATGGAATTCTCTCCCATCTGATGTAATGTGTGCTCCTACAGTTGAACAATTTAAATTGCAACTTGATAAAGCATTGGAACACTTAAAACTTTGACCTTCATCAGTGAACATGTATATTTTTATTACTTTTATTTTCTCTTTGTGAAGTTATTAAAAATATTTTTGAAAAATCCTGTGGGGCATGATAAGCTTTAGCTTTGTTAAATCGCCCATAATAAAAGTTCGACTTTGACTCTGATATACAGGTGTTGACCAAGCTCATGCAACATCACCCCCATTTTGAAAAACCATTTCAGCTTGCAATAGCATACTTATATATAGATGGTTATGAGTACGGTGTATTTATTCCTGACTTTATCTCCAACATCTACGTTCTTAGTTCATTTCTATCACCATTTGAATGCGCGCGACCTTGAGTGTCGCTATAAAATTTGCAGTAGTTCGAAAGTTACTGCTCTGATTTAGAAAATATTTTGGGCAAAGTAGCATGGGTGTTCATTCTTTTTAATAGATGATTCGTGTCCTATGAGAGTTTCTATTAGGTTGAGCACACGTATTCTAAATTTCTATTCTCTTTTCATTCAGTGCACAGTAAA